GGACAGCAGGAAATGTGGGCTGAGAGGCTGTGGGTCAGAAATGAGACAGAAACAAGTGGATCAAAGGCTCCCAACTCCCGAGAAGAAAGGTACAGGCGCTGCCAATTTTGGGGCTCTCTGCGTCTGCCCAGAGGGGTCCCAGTGCCAACAGTATTTAAAAACAAAGCCTTTTGCTGGAATTTGTAGAGCAGCCAGAGGCACGGATGATCTACACGCCCTTTGCAGCAGAGGCGGGATGCAGAGCACAGAGATCTACTTGCCTCGAAGTAGAAGAGTGGATTTTAGTCCAACAGAACAGAAACTTCTAGTCATCCGATCAACCTACACCTCCCCCCTCCCGTGCAGAGGGGAAAACAGGACGGGTAGCTCAGCCTCCGGCAGGACTGGGTGGGGATCCGGAGAGGAAAAGTTGACCCAACTGGAGAAAACACAACATGCTGAACATGCTGCGGCCAAAGGGGTGGTAGGAGATGGTAGGAATCCAAGTGGGTGCGTGTGCTGCTTATTTCTGGTGGCTTTCCAGGGCACTGAGGAAGAGAGGAGAACGCCTGGCCACCAGGAACAGGGGAGTGAGGCTGCCACTGCCTTTAATTTGAAACTCAGAGATGAGTTCCACACCAAGGCTGACTCCTGGGGCCTTGGCCTTGAGATTTTTTTTTTTTTTTTGTGATTTGCATTACAACCATCTATTTGCATCTCAACTGTCAGGCAGTGCAAATGAGTTGGTGGTGGTTTCAGCCCATCCTATCCTTCCATCTCTTCTGTATCTTCCATCTTTTGGTAGCTGGGCCAAGAAGAAATGACTCAGCGGGGACGACTCAGAGGCCTCCCAAGGACTTCCCAGTGGAGTCCCTGGGAGATAGAAAGGGCGTCTTTCAAGCACCCTTGTTGTCCTGAATTTCCCTGCAGAGCCTGAGATTCAGCAAGAAACTGAGTAGCATCTTCTAGCTGGAGGGGAGCCAGCATCATCTAGTTTTTGTGAGTTAGATTGGCATCCTTGCTGGAAATGACTGCCACAAAGTGCTACCTGAGAGGTTAAACTGCTTCCTCTTTCCTTCTATTTTCCATCGGCGACCTCTACTGCCCCACCGTGGACCTCTGAGGTCACCTTCCTTTTTTTTTTTTTAATTTTTATTTATTTATGATAGTCACACAGAGAGAGAGAGAGAGAGAGAGAGAGGCAGAGACACAGGCAGAGGGAGAAGCAGGCTCCATGCACCGGGAGCCCGATGTGGGATTCGACCCTGGGTCTCCTGGATCGCGCCCTGGGCCAAAGGCAGGTGCCAAACCGCTGCGCCACCCAGGGATCCCTGAGGTCACCTTCCTACACAAACTCGGGGGAACTGGACTTTTGCGGTACAGGGCCACTGACTCAGAGTCTGGTTTGGATAAAGCCCTGAGCCACCTCATTGCTACTTTTACCATTTGGCCGTGCTTTAATTCAACCAGCACATATCTCTGCAGTGCCTCCCAGGTGCCAGGCAGAGTGTGAGGCACTGGGTTACGCCGGCCAGGAAAGCAGAGCTGCCCCTGCCTGCAAATCCTTCAGTTGAATTGGGGAGACAAATGTTATGCACTAATACCTGCAAAACCACAATAACAGTGAGCGTGAGGGAGAATCACATGTTCTGCAGAGCCTGTGACACAGAGATTTCACCTCTCCTCATGCCTGTCCCTCCTCCAAGTCTGTTGATGGACACAGTTTTCCTCCATGCCTGGCAAATCCAACTACCCTCCCCCCAGACACAAATCCCAACAGATTGTATCTTCTCCTCAGAAAGAGAACTGGAAGAGATGATAAATTTTTAAAATCTCTTTTTACAAAAGGTGCCTGGTTTCTTTTGGAGGTTCCCTGTTGTTTCCCAGATTCTGGACGTTGGCAATATGCCTAAACACTCCATCCTGGGAAACTGGGGCCTGACGGGGCCTTGGGAGCATTGACCCCATCCGGATCTAGAGCCCTCCAGAATTCTGGAGAGTAGAGAAGAGATGGGAGATACAAAAAGAGCAGGGCAATTCAGAAAGCAATTTATTCCTCCCTCTTAGTTAGGGAATCGGCCCAGGACCATGTCTGGGATGGTTTGGGTGCAGCTCTACTGCGAGGCTGGACGATGACCCAGAGGACCTTGGTTCATGGGGGGTGGGGGGGGAGTCTGGGCTTCTGGGCTGCCTTTGTTCATCTGTAGTTCTCTCTCTGCACCTCACTGTGCCCTGGAGGCCAGCCCTTTACTGTCAGAGACACTGGTCAACTCCCTAGGGCAAGGAACGAAATGGTCCCTGGTAGCACCGGGCACCCAGTCCACAGCGGGCAATGGTGATGCCTGTGCCTGGGTGCGGAGTGGCCACTAGAGGCAGGCTGGACCCAGATACCCCTCAGCATCCCTGCAGATACTTCGGACAGGCCTTCCAGCAAAGCAGGACTGAGTTAATCTCCAAGGGGCCAGGGTGACCCTGTAATCCCCCAACCAGTGGTGGTAAGAAGGCCCTGGGGGTTCTGGCACTGCTGCTGCTCCCTGGATCCATCTGGTTAACATCTGGGTGTGTGGCAGGTACTGTGCTGAGTCCTACAGACTAAAGGTCTGATCTCCTCTATCCTTTGGTGGCATTCCCTGTGGCAGACGCCAACATGGAGCTGCTTCCCCATATTCCCCAGCCTTCTGGCAGTGAGGTGGGGCCACATCCCTAGTTCTGGGCAGAAGTCACAGGATAAAGCATAGAAGAGCTGGTGCTTGCCCCCTTCCCCTCCCTCCTGCAGTGACCGACGTGATCACAGAGCGTGCACTGAGCGACGACACAGAGAGGGATCGCCCTGCCCACTTGTGCTGGGTGAGTAATAAACCTCGGAGTGAGAAATAAACCTCTGTTTCAGGGTTAGTTTGTTACCGCAATAGAAACGGACACGTTTTCACCCAGACAGCCTAGTGATGCTTAGAAAGGGTCAATGACTCCCCCGAGGTCGCAGAGCTAGCAAATGGCAAGGCTGGACTTGAACACAGGGCCCGTCTGATTCTAGAGTTTGGGCCGTGAACCACTACACAAGCTGCCTCCCCTCTGGGTTGCCTCCAAAATCGAGCCCCAATTCCTTGGTTTGGAATTGGGGCTCCCTGTGCATCCAGCCCACCCTCCCACCAGCTCACTATGCCAACCCTGCATCAGTCACATGGCACGACCTGCTCCCTCCACCTGCTGGGCCTCTCTGTGGGCCACTGCCCAACCTACTAGTCCTCCTGGCTACCTTTAACCATCTGATGTGTGTCCCAAGGCTCAGCCCTGGTCCCCCCTTTCACCATAGAGCTTTGGCTGGTCTTCTGGCTCCCTCCGGCCCCTTCCTTTCCCTTCCTCAGCTGAGCTCTGTAGCCCTTGCTATCTATTGTCACTGTCCTGTACACAAGTATCAGTGTCTCTGTTCTCTTGGACATTCAGGAAAGCCTGAAACCAGAGATGAGACTTTCTCCTGAGGCTCTCACTTACACAGCAGCGTCTACAGGGGGTGCTGTGCCCCAGGGGGATAAAAGATGGCCCACTGGGGTATGAGAAAATATTGGAACTTGTTTTTATACCTGTTTATCTCCACCTTTTAAACTTTCTACATTTTTGTGTATGTTTTAAAAGTACATACTACACTTTGTGTAAACACACTTGGTTCTATGGCTACGCTTCCTCAAAGGACTAAATACAGCTCCTTTTAAACAGTAGGTGCTCAGTACATACTTTAGCTTTCTCAGACAGATGGGTATGGGATGATTTAGCAGGAGACGGGGGCATGTGGCACCCATACACATGTACACACAGGGGACTGACTTGCCCTTGTGGCCCTCTTTCCTTGTCAGGGGGCAGGGGTGGGGGCGGGTTGGGGTGGATGGTGTCCAGGGAAGAGAAGCTGACAGGAGACCCGTTGGATCATGGGAGGAGGGGCTCCTGGGCAGGTGTGCTGGTGGTCTGTTGAGCAGCCAGAGAGGAGCAAGAGGAGTGAGCGGGAAGCCAGGCCTGGAGCAAGGCCAGTGTGGGAGCCTGGTCTTGTGAGGTGTAATTGCAGAGAAGCCCCTCAGGCTGGAAAACCTAATGGAATTCCTGAGCAGAGTGGCCTGGGAGCAGCGGTAATAAATAGAAGTGCTATTAAGGACTGTGGCTGCTGACAGGTGGGGGAGAGACCAGGCACTGGCTGGGTGGGGAGGAGGCAGGCTGAGAGGGTCCCCGTCAGCATGGAAGCCTGTCCCATCCAGGCCTGGTGGGGCACAGCCCCATCCCGGAGCCTCCTCCCTCCTGGCCTTCTGGAGCTCTCCTTCACTTGCTGCCCATGCCCCTTCCAGGTGGGCCCTGCAGGAGGCTGCAGGCTTCCAGGACCCCCGGGGTCTCCTTGTGGCCTGGGATCCCCTTGAAAGCACTTATGCTACTCACATGGAAAAGGAGGAGTCATTACTACACCCCAAACAGAAATAAGATTTTTTTCCCAAAGTCCGATTTTATACAAGACCCTCCAACTTCTAAAATATCTAGTTTTTGGTGTATGTTTTATAATGTACATTCTAGATTAATAGGATGAGCATATATTTCTAAATAATTCCTAAATAGGGATCCCTGGGTGGCGCAGCGGTTTGGTGCCTGCCTTTGGCCCGGGGTGCGATCCTGGAGACCCGGGATTGAATCCCGCGTCGGGCTCCCTGTGTGGAGCCTGCTTCGCCCTCTGCCTGTGTTTCTGCCTCTCTCTCTCTGTGTGTGACTATCATGAATAAATAAATAAAATCTTAAAAAAATTCCTAAATAAATCACTAAATGAAGAACTATACACTGGAAGTGTGTGCTCAAAGAGTTTTTGCAGGGGTGGGGGGTAGGCTGAGGATTAGAGACTGCTGATTTTTGCAAGGGAGGAGCAGCAGCAATGTTTGTTTCTATTTTATAGATGGGGACTTGGAAGCCTAGAGATACTTGGCATCTTTCCCAGGGTTGGACAGCCCAGAAAGGGCGGGGGTCTGGATACACCACACATTCCCGGGACTCACCTCATCCTTGTCCACCACCTGGATGAAGAGGGGTAGGGCAAAGCCCACCTGTGCTAGCTCGGTGATGGCCACACTGTATTCAGAGCTGTTGAACTCCGGGGCATTGTCATTGATGTCAATAACCAGGATGTTGAAGGTCGTGGTGACTGAGGCATCAGATGGAGTACGGTCATCATTCAGCTCTGTGCCCTGCAGGTAGAGGACAAAAACCCCAGAGATGAAGGCAGCCGTAATCATAATATCATCACTTTCCAAGGCTTTGTCAAGGCTGGGTCCTGTGCTTCCTGTCAATTATCCCATGCCCTGACCACAATCCTGGGAAGAAGACTCTATCATCATCATCCCAATTTTACCCTTGAGGAAACAGGCTCTGAGAGGTTAAGTAACTTGTGTAAGGACACATAGTCAGAGTGGGTGTCAAACTCAGGCAGCAGGATTCCAGGACCAAAGGGACGAGGTGGTATGGTGATGACAAGACAGATTTAGGGGCTCCTCAAGGGGCAAAGGGAGACTCTTTATTCAATTTGGCAGATGATAAAACTGAGGTCAAGAATTTTTGCGTTAGCAGGTAATTAAGACTTAATTTGGCATCTGCTATGGCCCAAACACTGTGCTAGGCATCATGATGGTCTGGGTCGGACTCAGGGAAAAATGGGCTCAAATCCTTGGGTGCCCAGTCACTGCACCAGAACCTGCCCCCCCCCCCCCTGCAAATACCCATTCCCAGTTCCCACTCAATCTTCTGAATCTGAGTCTCTGGGCGGGAGGCCCAGGACTAGCTATCTTTTACCAGTTCCCCAAGAGATTTGGATTCACAGCCAAGTTTGTGAACTCCCCCTCACATTTTATATAAAGATGGAAAAAATGAGCTCAGGGTCCCATAGTAAGCTGGTGGCGCCACTGGGGCCAGGACACAGCTCTCTCCAACTGGAACTGTGTGCCTTACAGGAGTCGTGCAGAGAGGAGGGGAGGCAGAGAGGGGCCCGTGGCTTGGTGGCTTGATGCAACATGGGAAAGTGGTGGTGTTGGCCCCCCTACCCCAACCATGTGTGCACCCTGGGTGGTGACAGAGGAGCCAGCTGGCCAAGGAGGGCTAATCAACCTGTCGCTCTGTATCCCTCCCAAAGTCAAGGAGAACAATCAAGGGCCAGGCTGGGCTCCTCTGTCCTCCTCAGGATGGAAGCTCCTATCCCAGCCCTTGTGTCCTCCCCCACCTCAGTCCATGGGGCTGGGGAGGAACCCTATGGCCCAGGCAAAGTCCATACCTTAAATGGGTTTCCCAAGGAATGCCTCTGCAAATCATAGATTTTAATTAAAAGCGGCCATGGGACACCTGGGTGGCTCAGTGGTTGAGCATCTGCCTTCGGCCCAGGGCGTGATCCTGGAGTCCCAGGGCGTGATCCTGGAGTCCCAGGATCGAGTCCAGCATCGGGCTCCTCGCAGGGAGCCTGCTTCTCCCTCTGCCTGTGTCTCTGCCTCTCTCTGTGTGTGTCTCATGAATAAATAAATAAAATCTAAAAAACAAACAAACAAACCCCAATCTTCTCTTTTCCAATTACAAATCTGTGAGGCCAGGTTTTATTCAATCAGCACAACATACCACAACGGACAGTGCAGAAGCAGATACAAGGATCCAGAAGTCTTCTATTAAGATAGTCATTAGGGGGCGACAGGGGCCAGAGGCTGTGGCTCCACCACACCTCCAGGGTAAGGACCCTAGAGGTTCCCACCTCCCCCCACTACGCTGCTGCTTCCTAACCAGGGAATAGTCCCTGGGGGAGGCCGTCAGAGTTAGAACCGGGAAAAACCCCAGAAATGGGGTCAACATGAGAATCTGAGGTGGCTACTATGGAGAACTAGGAATCATGGGTAACCGTCAGGACCACCGATGAGCACCTACTGTGTGCTCTCTGGTTCCTAAAATGGGGATGAAAGTCCTAATCCTGTGTGATTGTTGATCATGGCTGTGGGGTGCCAGCACGGCCCCTGACCCGGCCTATGCTGGGAGGTGTGGTCCCGTCCTGACACGAGCCCCAGCACCCAGGCAGGTGAGGGGCCAGGAGCACCGCCCTGCTGGAGCTTCAGGGGGGCGCTGCTGGAGGCTGGTACCGCGGTGGGGGCCCCTGCACTCGGGAGGCCCGTGCCTGCTGCCTGGCTCTCACCTTCACCGTCAGGATGAAGCCGTGGCTGTACAGGGGGTTCTCTCGGTCCAGTAGGCCGTTCAAGGTCAGCGCCCCACTGATGTAGTCCAGAGCAAAGATGCTGTTGGTATTCCCTGCAAGAGAGAGTAACATTCCAGGTACGCCTGGGGCCCAGGGCAGATGGACACGGGCTGTGGTCGGGGCTCCTCTCTGCACGTTAAGGATGAAGCATTAACCACATGGATGCTGGCCCCAGGAGTAATGGGAAGTGTTCTGGAAGATGCGGCCCAGGCAGTAGCAGCAATGATTCACAGTGAGGACATTCTGCTTTTCAGTCTTCTTCTGTCTCTCGGAAGGAGTCAAGGAGAAAGTCTCAGTTTGGTGCTAGTGTGCCTATAGCACCTAACACTTGCTTGTCTTCCTTCGTAACAGAGAGAGAGAGAGAGAGAGAGAGAGAGAGAGAGCAGGCTTCAGGCCTGGAGGCTTCTAAAGGGAACAGTACGCAGCTAGGACTTGGTAACTGCTATGGTCCGAACACTTGCTTCCCCCCAGAATTCATATGGTGATGCCCAAAGCCACACGAGGGCATTAGGAAGTGGGCCCTTCGGAAGGTGCCTCGGTCCTGCAAGTGGAACCCTCGTGGATGGAAGGGATCCCATGCACCCTGTGCTATGTGAGGACACAGTGAGGAATCACCACCTATGAACCAGGGTGGAGACCACGCTGACACTTGGATCTTGGATTTCCCGGGCTCTGGAATTACAAGAAATAAATTTCTTTGTTTATGAGCCACACAGACTGTGGGGTTCTGTTATAGCAGCCCAAGTGGACTAAAGCAGAAACCTAGTTTTGTTTGCGTTGTGCTTATTTTTATAGTCATTTTCTATCCTGTTCCATTCTATCCTAATTTTCTACTGAGCACTGATACAATTTCCCTTTACGTTAAATGTAAGTTAAAAACCCAATTCAATCTTAAGAATAAGCATTTATTTTGTTAAAACTTGAAGTATATATTTAAAGTACTGGCAAAAACCCTACTCGAGATACACTGGCTCGGATGGAGACCTCTGTGTCCACCCTTTGCTCCCTTACCAACTCCATTTTATGCCCCCCTACAGGCGCCCTGTGTCCCCACAGCAGCTTTCCCAGGTTCCCCAAATCTCCATGTGCACGCCTGCCTCCTCTTCTCTCTGTGAACACCTTCCTCTCTTGGCCTTACCTGCCATCCTCCCATCTAGTGCCCCTCCTCCTCCTCCTGCTCCTCCTCCTCCTCCTCCTCCTCCTCCTCCAGGAAGGCAGTCCTACTTCTCTGGCTGACCCTCCACCCTCACAGGCCGTAGCCACTGTTCTGTTTGCTCTCTCACTGCTCCCTATGTGTTCATGTGATCTTCCCGGCCACCCTGAAGATGGGGGGCAGGTGGTGGCCACAAAGTAAGTGCTCACTAAGTACTGCTTGAGCTGGGCCCTGGACGATGGGCAGCACTGGGGAAAGGATGGATGGATGGATGCTGATCCCACAAGCAGGAACTGACACACACAGGTAGAAGCTACTGTATCCCCTGGCTCACCCCCCACCCCGACCCGGGCTCTAAAGGGATCTGTGCACCATTAGGGGGTCCCGTCATCTCTTGGATCAACTAGGGAAAGCACAAAGCGGGGACAATTTCCCTTCTGACTTTAGAGTTTGGGAGAGGCTATTCTCCACCAACTCTCTGCTGGCCGGCAAGGCATCCACATCCACTCGGTCGGTAGCTAGAGGCTGTCCCTCCCCTGTCCTCCTCGCGGGCTACAAGGGTTGGCTGAGGCGGAGGAGGGACAGCTGATGACTGCAGAGCCCGTTCAGGTCTCACGTCAGGCTCAGACTGTGGGCTTTGGGGACTGTGACGTGGGGCCTGGCCAGGGAGTGGACGTCACCCTAGCCTCCCCTCTTGCCTGGAGCTTCCTCCCACGGCCATAGAGAGACCTGGACACCTTCCTGCTGAGTGGGTGTAGTGGGGGAGGACAGGGCTGCAAGGAGGCATGGACACGCATGAAGGTAAGGAAGTGTCTTTTTCTTTAGCCAGGAATTCTGCTGCTGGGGAAACAGGAGGCTGGATGCTTTCATCTGTTTGTCATTAGCTAATCCATTTGACAGTCACTGAGCTCCTGCGATATGTGGGGGACAGAGTCTAGCAGGGGATGTAGCCCTCACCCAGGTATTCACATCACAGGGTGATCAGGGCTGGGGGGCGGTGAAGCATGGTCATTGCAGGGCCCTTTGGGGGGTGGGTCCTGAGTCCCTAAATGCTGAGCTGAAGGGCTGCCCTGAGGCAACATCTCCGAGCCTCCTGCCGCCTATAGCCCCCTGCCAGCATGGGCCGCACCTCCCCAGCCCCCAGGGCTAGCATCCCATCATTCTGAATTTCCATATAAATTTATTCTTCCCAATAAAGGAACCTATCAAATGTTTAACTAAATGTGATTCAATTTTTATCTTTGCAAGATTTTTCCTATAAATCATTCACAAACCAGAAGCCCCTTGTTGAATGATGTGCTTTGGTTTTTGGCTTGAAAAATGGGGTTATCAACTCTGGAACACACAGCTGGGCCTCCCCACTTAGCACCTCTGCCCCGATCATGGCCATACGGCCCATCCCCAGCTTGAAGTCTGCCTCCAGCTCATAAAATATCCTCTTCCCTGACCCAGGCATTTTTCTCCAGCAAACCTGCAGGCAAATACCCTCCAACTGATACACATTCAAACCCAGGGACCCTCCTCCAACACACACACACACACACACACTCACACACACACACGTACTTTTTTCCCATATCTACCTCCTGCCAAGTACAAATCAGCAACTCCCAGGACCAGCAGCCAGAAAGGGTTACACCCAGGGAGCTGACGGGACCACCTGAGTGAGCCATCGGCTCTGATGGCCTCCTGTCACCATGGCAATAGCAGTACTCCTGGGATGCTGGTTCAGGCACAGGAAGGAGACGGAGCCCTGAACCCCAAGCAGGGATGGCCAAGGGCAGGGCTCATTCAAAGACAGATTGATTAGATCACTCATTCCTTTGAGTTCATATTGCGCACCTTACTGTGTGTAAGGCGTTAGAGAATCAGTAGAGAAAAGCAGGCAAGGTTCATCCCTTCAGTCTTGCAGTGAAGATCAACATTAATGACATAATCACGCTATTGAACATGTAAGCAAGCACTTGCTGAGCTAAGTCCCCCCCAGGAAAGCAGCATGGCGTAGAGAGGTAGTTAGGGTTATGCCCTCAGGAGGCCGACTCTATGGGTTCAGATAGCTCTGCTTGTTGCTGGCTGGGTGAGCTTGGTCAGGTTATTAACGTATCTGGATGATCTCAGTTTCCTAGTCTGTAAATTGGGCACAACAATGGTATCCACCCCAGACTGTTGTTGGGAGGATGAAATGAGTGAATACAGTGCCTGGCACATAGGAAGTTCTCAACACAGGTTGGCCATCTGGTGTATCTGTGCTACCACCGTGGACCACCTGCTCTATTCCCACCCCCGTCCCCACATGCCTGTGTCTAGAGCTGTTCGCCCAATAGGAGCATTGAGCCAGCCCTGTCCTCTTGCTAGGAGAGAGCCTCAAAACCAAAAGCCCGTGTGTGCAAGTTGGCAGCTCAAGGCCAAGGCCATCTCAGCAGGGCTCTGGCCTCAGGGTGGGTCACCGTCTCCTGGCTCCTCTCTCTTAACTCCGCTTCCCCAGGGGGATGTGGCCTTGGCAGCCACACAAGCAAGTTTCTCTGCTCCCCTGGAAGCTGATACCACCCTGTCAACCCTCTGGTCTCCCATTCTTTATCCAAGTCCCACAGGGACCAGGGGCCAAGGGAGGCTTACCTGGGACGCCTTTCACCTGTTCAGCCCCCATTGCTGAGCAGAAGAGCAGCTGCTTCCCCTGGGCCTGACAGGTGCTGTCCCAGGTGCGTGTGGATATACCTGGGAGGGGAGGGGTTCTGGGGTGGAGTGGGACGCACCTCGGTGCCCTCAGGGTTCTGGGAGCTGGTGACTTAATGCGTTCACAAAAGAGAAGCAGGTTCATTATTGCCCTGCTGGTTCTCCTGGGGGCAGCCACCTCTTCTAGGAGCTCCAGGCACCCAGACTTCTTCAGATTCCCAGAGGAAAGGCTGGGGGGATGTGAATTGAGTCTGCAAAAGCATGAAAGGCTTCCAAGGGGGAGTCCCAGCCTTCTTTCCCTTATTTATTAAAAACAGTAGCTAGTGCGCGTTGAGAAGTTCCATGGGCCAGGCACCAAGTGAAGCCATTTGTGCCACCATATTATTTACTCTTCACCATAACTTAGTAAGAACATAGCCCACATCACATATGAGGAAGCAGGTTCAGAGATGACAAATAAGTTGTCCAAGGTCACACAGGTACTAAGTGGCTGGCTTACATCTCTCTTTCTTGCTCCGCAGGCATTGGCCCTACACACGTTTACACCCACTCTGCACTTGGCCCCATGCTAAGGGACAAGCAGATGCAGAGATATAAGAAATCATCATCCTACATAAAATGGAGTGGTGACAAAGTTGCTTTTTTTTTTTTTTCCTCAGGAGGGGATCCTAGGTAAAAACACCATACATTCTGGGCAGATTTAGGTAGTAGCACAATGTCCATGTGGCAATGTCCTCCGGGTGGTGGCGAGGAGGGCCCACCCTGGGGTCTGGTGGGAAGGCAGGGCTGCAGGCAGGACATACAGAGGCACTGGCAAGGCTACCTCTGGGGCAGGCCTATGGCTCCAGTGAGGATGAGCAGGAGAATTTAGGGAGACAAGCAGTAGCCTGAGATGCAGGGGGACATTGTATGTGCCAGGTGCCCGGAGGCAGGAGAGGAGGGAGTTCCAAGAGTGGTTAGTAGGGTCCAGCAGCCGAGAGACAGAGAAGAGAGAGAGAGAGAGAGAGAGAGAGAGAGAGAGAGAGAGAGAGAGGCAGCTCAGGAGAAGGAAGGTGGGGTTGGATCTTCGGACGCCCCCAGAGGTCAGACAGTAAGACACTGAGGGCCAGTGGGGCACAGACCAGGGGACATGAGCAGGTGCAGAGCGTGGGGAGCAAAACCCAGGGAGGGAGGCCGAGTGGCCACTAGAGGGCACAGCAGAGTCAAGCAAAGGGCTTCTGTGCCTCA